ACCTTCTTTTGTTTAGGAATTTTGAATTTCAACCTTTTTGGGATACCGTTGGTTGGTGCAGACATTTGCGGCTTTATTGGAAATACTAACTTTGAACTTTGTGCAAGATGGACTCAACTTGGAGCATTTTATCCCTTTTCAAGAAATCATAACACGATCAACAACCAGGTAAAGACTTACACTTATTAGAAATACTTCGTTTTCACTACACTTCACAGCGGCCATCTTGGAGGAACTTTAACAAAGGATTTCTCATTAGTATCTATTGTTTGTTTCTCCAATATGGCTKACGGTCTTTTATCACTTGAATGTCATGGGAATGGTTGAACTAAACGATCATTACTCCGTTCAATGATGTACTTTATGTTATTCTTTGACTTTTTACTCGTCATTTTATCGTCAATAGCCACAGGATCCYACTGCCTTTGGTGACAATTTTGCAGCAATGGCTCGTAACGTGCTATTAATGAGATACCGTCTTCTTCCATATTTGTACACGTTGTTTGCCAACGCTCATGTAAACGGCGGTACTGTAGCAAGACCKTTATTCTTCGAGTAAGTGATACAGTTGTAATAGACCTCTGCAGMTTTTACGTCATGTACCGTATACGCAATGCATTGTAGGATATGTTTGGGACAGAACATGGCGGATTTCTTTTGTTTTCTCTTGAAATTGATCCCACAATGCATTGAAAATCAAGTAGTGACGTGAAAGGTTCAGAGGTCTATACTAACGTATGGGAACTGTTTTTTTTTGCTGGTTATAATATTACTCTTCAGTAACGCTAGTTAGTAAATTAATTCAATTATAATGTTTTATGCCATTTACAAATGGATTTCAGTGAGTTATTCTTTGCCTGTTTTTCACAGCTAAGTGACAAATTCAAGAGTTATCAAGTATATTCTTGTTTTCAGATTTACAAACGATAGCAAAACACTTCCCATCGATCAGCAGTTCATGTGGGGCTCGTCGCTTCTAATAACTCCCGTCATGCAACAGGTCAGTTTTG